AAAAAAAAAAAGAATATCCGAATAACGAAATTGAAAACCGAATAGAGGGCCAACGACCAAATATTCGGATACAGCTCTAGTGGTTACACACATTTTCAAAATCATTTTTTCAGATGATTTATGCTACAGCACTGAACTAAAGCACCCTCAGACTACTGTAGCAGCAGTATTGTGTAGAAAAGATGTGTGTGTGTGTGTGTGTGTGTGTGTGTGTGTGTGTGTGTGTGTGTGTGTGTGTGTGTGTGTGTGTGTGTGTGTGTGTGTGTGTGTGTGTGTTACCTCTCTCTTCATATCATCTGGGCAGTGTGGTGTGGCTCTGGACAGAAATGAGGGCAGGTATGTGTGTAATGTGCTCTCGGGTTTGGCTCCGAATGCGAGGGCCTTGAGTCGAGGGTACAGACGCCTCAGCTGATCCTGCAGACTGAACACAAACTAAACATGTTACTTTATCACTTTTTTAAATGGAAACAGTCACTGTCAGAAAAACAACAACCAAGCTATTGACGACACATTCAAATGTACCTGTCATTTGAGATGGATGTCACCAGTTTTATGGAGACATGAATGGTAACTATTCAGGTGGAAACTGTTGGGATAATGGCCTAATGGGATAAGTGACAAGACCAAGGGCATTTTCTCCAAAGATAGCCTTGTGGTTGTTTGATTAAGTATTTGAGGCTAGGCATCAAGGATAATTCACAACCATCTGTAAATATGAAAATGATGTGAGTGGGTTTCATTGTTTGCATTGTGTGACATTTACCCTGATGACAGGGCGTTCTTGGGCATGAAGGCGAAATCCAGTAAAGGAAAGAACTCTTTGGGCCCCATGATGCCAAATCCCTTTGTCAGGTTGGCATGAAGTCTGGGGAGAAAGAGAACAATTAGCACACGTTTAGGTGTAATGGTATAGATTAATTTAGTCACACATTAAAAGCAAGTATACCTAAACTGTTAAAAGCCTAAAGAATCCGTAGTAAATGCAAAGGGCATTGAAAGTAAAGTCAAACAGTAATTGACATTTTACCCAAGAAAGAATATATTTGGTTGTCGCACTTAACATTTTAATTGTCGCTTAGTGTAATAAAAATAAAAGGTGTTAGTTGTATTTGACATGACCAAGGGGAAGATCGAATGAATTAGCAATATATATGTGAGGAAGACTTACAGGAGAAGTCTCTCCAGATATGCGATGGCATACGAAGACAAGGACTTCACTCCGAGCACAGGAAGCATGATGCCCAGCCACACTGAAACACACAATAACAAAGTTCATTAACATCACGGGGCCTTTAAGTTCCTGCCTTAAACGTGTCAACAGCCTGCCTTTTCGGACTTCAATTTGAAAAAGCCAGGAGCAATTGCATGAGAAAAACATGGCACTTATTTCTTATGAAAGGAAATTATATCATCAAAGTCTGTAACTTTAAATATACTGTCGCTATTATAAGAGCTAATGTTGCCTACTTTATTGAATATCCCACTGGAAATATTTCAATGTCAGGTCAGTACCAGAGAGTGGGGCTCAGACAGGAGAATCTTGGGTTGCTTAAACAAGATTAAAGTTTTGCTAAATATAGTTATCCATCACATTTTAGCGAGGCTATTCAATTATTTATACTCAGATCAAGATAACACGGGGGACATTTTGTACTTGAACCTAAGTAAACTTGAGTCGACGGCGCTTGTCTTTTCTTGCCTCGGGTAAATCGAAATGTACTCAGTCATTTTATTTGGCAGAAGGAGGTTGTTATATAATCTTTAAAGAATATTTGCCCTCCCACTCTCTGCCACCCACATCTTGGAGTCAGTACAGACCAGGCCCAGAGTTTGAGCTCACAGATCAGTGGATGTGTTGCTGCTCTAGATGTGCACTGTTGCTTGACACAGAATTGATGTCGGCACATTTAGTTGGGAAAGTGGGAGAAAGGGGAGACACAGGCTGGGACTAATGGAGTGGAAATGATGTGGAAACACTGTCTAGAATCTAGATATTTAAAGGAGTGTGCGTGAGAGTGAGTGAGTGAGTGAGTGAGTGAGTGAGTGAGTGAGTGAGTGAGTGAGTGAGTGAGTGAGTGAGTGAGTGAGTGAGTGAGTGTGTGTGTGTTACCTCTTAGTCCCTGGCTGAGGTCGTAATATCCAGCTTGGCCAAGAGCCCACATGATGGTCAAACACTTCACTGGACGATTTTGAACGGATCGCAGCAACTCCAAATACTAGACAGGACCGACAGGAACAAGAGAAAGTTCAACATTATATTGCAAAGAAATCCCCAGTACAATTGACGAGTTTCAGAAGGGAAAGCAATTGTTTTATTTGTACTTTTACTTCATTAAGGTTGTTTTAGAGCAGTGGACTGAAGGACACACACTCACCTCTGGCAGGTTTTGTGTCGCCATCCTGGGTTTGTCCTGCAGGATCGCCTGGATGCAAACTCTGTAGCCATGGAGAGGTTCTCCTGCAGACAAAGAGAGAAAGGCGTTTCTGGTCAGTTCTTTAACTGTAACCATGGCGATTCAAATATATATTGACCAGCATAAACTATGAATTGACGATATTATTGGCCTTTTTCAACAGTTCTTATTGAATGAAACTATCATCAACTAGTTTTAACAAAGGACTGAGACTAAATATAGAAAAATGTAACACAATTGACCAAATCAAATCAGGATGAAAAACGTACATGTAATCAAATTGTGATGATTTAAAGGTCACCCATCATGCTATTTTTAGGCAATAGCATAGGTCTCAGATGTATACAAATATATAAAAAACATGTCTATGAAGTGTTTTGCTCCAAATACCAAACAGATCACCCATTCTAGCCATGCCTCATATCCCTCTATTTCACTTCCTGTTTCAAAAGTGCTGATTTTGGGTATAAAGCTTTAAAAAATAAAAAATATTGATAAAATAAAAAAGAAGGGGCTGAGCTCATGCGGGACCCGGCAGCTACTGTCTAAACTAAATACTGCGGTGATGAAAGCCATATCATGGATTATCAAGGATTATCTCTGAAACAGTATGGAGCTCAAAGGCTTTCTCTCTTGCCGGTTATACCACAAGGTGAGTTCCTTTTTACTTCCTGCTTCTTCACACACATGCTCTCCAGTACAGGTTAGCTCTGAGTGTTAGCGATGCTAATGTAAACACCGACCATATTACGTCCAAAACAGTCGGGCATTGTTTCTGATAGCAACGTTTCTGATAGGGCCGTGGGTCCACATTTCAGATATTACGTCATATCGGACGCAAATCTGGATCAAAAAAATAGATGCATAAATATCTTTAGGCGACGTATAACAAGAATAATATGGCAT